ATCCATATGTAAAACAGAGACATTCACATGAGGTACAGTACAATGGAGGAGAATGGTATGAACCAGATCTACAAATTAATCTATAATACAGTATCTCGAAATCATTTTATATTTTTCTATCCCAATCAATGCATAGTATGTTAGGTGAGAAAGACAGAAAGAGATTGATGAACAGACAGTTATACATCTGGTGATCTGTTCTCTGTATTTACTATCCAACTGCCTCAGCTACGCTCATTCTATAGGTTAAAGACAGTATCCACTGGATTTACAATAATGGTTCTGCTTTTATTAAGGATGAGAAAGTCTCTTGTCCACACAAATTAGGGTAAGCTGACATAAATTATAATTTATTAGTGGATAATGACTAGATTAATGAATCTAAAATATCTTCCACACAACACCAAAAATACAATGTTTCATCAATGAACAAATTTATAGAGTTTTCTGTTTAATTAATACAAAAGTATCTTCATTACAAAAATTAGCTTTGATTAGTTTTTATATTTTTAATTTGATTTGGCTATATTTTTTATATTGAGGTCTAATATATCAGCTTACCCTCATTAATTCTAAATTTATTTTTTTTTAAATAATTTAAAAATTAATTTAATGATGACACACGTAAGTAAAATTGGCTTCCAAATATATATTTTTTAATATATGTTAGATGTTTCAAAATCAGCAAATGCCTCTATTTGTAATTGCAGTTAAAAAAGTGCCCTTAGATGTTACAAATTCACTGATTTATTAAACAAGCTCTGTCTCTCTCTCTCGTATCTTTCAAAAGGAGAGAGCGATTTTTTTTTGTTTTCCGTTTTGTAAGTTTCCGATCTTCGGATAATAAACTCCGGTTCTTCCGGATCTTTGTTTAGGTGTGTGTTTCCATTTATCGGAAATTTTGTTATGAAATACCATCTTGCATGTGTTATGTTGAATTCCTGAAGCTTTTAATTAGTCTCTTTTTTTCATTAGTTATGCTTGATTTCTTTCTTTCCGGAGATTCATTATCTTTGTCAACTGTTAATGGCAGAGTCTCTATGTAGAAGTTCTAAATCAAGCTTTCGGCGTTTGAATTGGAAGAGATGGACTGGAGTAGGTAGAGCTTTCGTCCCTGGAGCAAAGTATTTTGGAGCTGTCCCGCAAATTCTGCGTTTCCACTTTTTCGTCGAGTGTCTGCGCATCACTTCTGGTGAAAGTGTTGAGCTGATTAATTAGCTTCCGGCGATTAGATATAAGAGGAAATAGCAGTTTTCTGGAAACTGTCAGTGGTGGCTGAAACCGGTGGTGGTAGTGGTTCTATAATAGTTCTTCTTGTCGGCAAACACGTGATTTTCTTTGTTTTGATTTGCTTCCACATTGTGTACACTGTGTTATTAGGTTTCAGGATTATTTTTGGGTCACAAAGCGAGATGTTGTAATGCAGAGATTGACCTCCTCTATTAATCTCCTCATTTTCATAAAAACAACAATATCGTGGTCATATGTTATGTATTGGGGGTTCTGATCCGTTACCATCATCAAGCTCCAACCACTCTTGATACTGGTAACATAGTTTTACAGATATGTTTGGCACCGTTGATATATCATGGTTTTATGGTTTTTCACCATGGTATAAGTCCTTTTTATAGTGTCTTTTTGGTCTTTTTGGTCTTTTTAGTGTTCTAGTAGAGTCTTTGCAGGTTATAGCATGACTGGAGCATAATTGGAAGTTTTGGGGCTTTTTGGATCATTGCAAGAATCAACCCCGAAGTTAGCAACTCAGAAGGCGTTACATTGTACTGGTGACGCTCATCACCCACCTCTGGAGGAAGCATCGCGACTAATTAAAAGATTGAGGTTGCAATTTTGGCCCAGAAGTTTTCTTAATTACAAAAAGTCCCCAATTCGTTTTTAGCTGGTATATTAGGTTTTTCAGCCACTTTTTATCTTGTATCTTATTTTCTAGAGAGACAAAGAGAGAGATTTGTACCAGAGCTTTTGGAGAGACCAATCAGTCTCCTTCAGAGCAGATTTTGAACTCCTTTATCTCTATTTTTTATTTCTTTTATGCAATATATTTTATTCATGATGTTTTCTCAATTCACCATGTCTGAGTAGTTTGTTAGTTAGGTTTTGGATTTTTCAAAGGATATGAATTTTTAGAATTGAATTACTGTTGGGATTAATCTGTTAGTTCTTCATCTAGATTTGTGTTTATTGCTTATTCTAGCTTCGCGACCTAGAATATAATATTAGGTTGATTAATAGATGCGAGAGTATTGTTAATTTCCTGAACTAATCTTAGATGAGCAAAATTACTATCTGCAAAGAGATTTGAGTTTAGGAATTTTGTGAATAGATCAAACCTGACTTTATTGCTTGTCTGAATTATTTGAATTTGCAAAGAGATTTGGAATTCTAGGATTTAGACATAGATGATCTCTGCAATGAGAGTTGATTGCTTTTACAATTGTGTTTCGAGTTCCAGAATGGTGCTTAATAATTATTCCGACAGTTTTCATTCTGAAATTTCAACGTGCAAATTTTCCAAAGCCTAGCATTTTTCCTTCTTGACTTTTAAGCCCTCAAATGGACCATCTGCTGCTTTTTTAGTTTATTTGCATTATTTTTATTCAGTTCTTTTAGCTTAATTCGAATCTAGAATCTGTTGTTTGGCTTCCTTAAGTCTCTTGGGATTTCGATACTCTTTATACTACATTTGCTTTGCTGTGCACTTGCAGTAGTTTTATTTAGGTTAAACTTTAAGCCTATAGACCGTGAACTGAAGTTTGTCCTTCACTTCGGTAACCAACTCCAATTGCGTCATTCCTGTCTGTAGTTGCAGGTACGTAATCGCATTAGTTGGACCAGTTTCAAACACCCACCTCTAAACAGGATCGCTGACCCAATTCTCTGAAACGACATGAACTGCATCATGATCATCCATATGTAAAACAGAGACATTCACATGAGGTACAGTACAATGGAGGAGAATGGTATGAACCAGATCTACAAATTAATCTATAATACAATATCTCGAAATCATTTTATACTTTTCTATCCCAATCAATGCATAGTATGTTAGGTGAGAAAGTCAGAAAGAGATTAATGAACAGACAGTTATACCTCTGGTGATCTGTTCTATGTATTTACTATCCAACTGCCTCAGCTGCGTTCATTCTATAAGTTAAAGATAGTATCCACTGGATTTACAATAATGGTTATGCTTTTATTAAAGATGAGAAAGTCTCTCGTCCACACAAATTAGGATAAGCTGACATAAATTATAATTTATTAGTGGATAATGACTAGATTAGTGAATCTACAATATATTCTACACAACACCAAAAATACAATGTTGCATCAATGAACAAATTTATAATGTTTTTCCGTTTAATTAGTACAAAAATATTTTTATTACAAAAATTAGCTTTGATTAGCTTTTATATTTTTAATTTGATATGATTATATTTTTATATTGAGGTCCAATATATTAATTTACCCTTATTAATTCTAAATTTATTTTTTTTTAAATAATTTGAAAAATAATTTAATAATAACACACGTAAGTAAAATTGACTTCCAAATATATATTTTTTAATATATGTTAGATGTTTCAAAATCAACAAATGCCTCTATTTGTAATTGCAGTTAAAAAAGTGCCCTTAGATATTATAAATTCACTGATTTATTAAACAAGCTCTCTCTTTTCTCTTCGTATCTTTCAGAGGGAGAAAGCGATTTTTTTTTGTTTTTCGTTTTGTAAGTTTTCCGATCTTTGGATAATAAACTCCGGTTCTTCCGGATCTTTGTTTAGGTATTTGTTTCCATTTATCGGAAATTTTGTTATAAAATGCCCGCTTGCATGTGTTATGTTGAATTCCAGAAGCTTTTAATTACTCTTTCTTTTTTATTAGTTATGCTTGATTTTTTTCTTTTCGGAGATTCATTATCTTTGTCAACTGTTAATGGTGGAGTCTCTATGTGGAAGTTCTAAATCAAGCTTTCGGCGTTTGAATTGGAAGAGATGGATTGGAGTAAAGTCTTTTGGAGCGGTCCCGCGAATTCTATGTTTCCACTTTTCCAGCGAGTGTAGGCATCACTTCTAATAAAAGTGTTGAGCTGATTAATTAACTTCCGGCGATTAGATATAAGAGGAAAGAGCAGTTTTCTCGAAAATGACAGTGGCTGAAACCAGCGGTGGTAGTGGTGTTACAATAGTTCTTCTTGTCGGCAAACACGTTTATTTTCTTTGCTTTGATTTGCTTTCACATTGTGTACACTGTGTTATTAGGTTTCCGAATTATTTTTAGGTCAGATAAATTTGTAAACTGCTCTATCTTTAAAGGATTTCAATATAATCAGAAGACAAAAAAAAAATGTTATAAATTCCATTTATCTCTTTTCGAAACCAATAGAACAAGGCAAAATCAAAACTTTTGTTCCTACCTCTGGTGTCTGGAAACCGCTAGAACAAGAAGAAGACATCAAATTTACATTGTAACTCTTATTATATAATGTATTTTAGTCAAACTAACTTGATACGAGGTCGTAAAACTAGAGATTTCGGTGAACCCTTAACAAAATTACGAGGAGATAAGAAATGTTCTTCTTCTTCGTTGGTGGATTAGGGCAACAGGTGAGGCAGGTACTGAAATCCGGTGCCGGAAATTGCATAAGATGCGGCTCTGAAGCGGATTTGGTCGATTACGACAAAGTCTTGAAGCTATTCTTCGTTCCTGTCTGGAAATGGCCAGGGAAAGATCCCCTACTCCACTGTAGAGATTGCAATTTGTTTTTCCCTCAGTCTCTATCACCACCAGTTTCTCTAGCTACGTGCCGTTTCTGCGATCGAGTCGTGGAGCCTGAGTTTCATTTTTGCCCCTTTTGTGGCTCTTCTCTGTGAAATCTTGGTCTGTCCAAAAAAGTTGTACTTAACCTGCAAATTTGATCTCTATCTCTGAAGATGCTACTTTGATGTTATCTTCAAAAACTCTTCATTATAAAATTTTTGTTCTATGCGGTTTCTGACTCTTGTTCTGATGTCTGATATTCAATTTCTCATTCACTGTACACAGGAAAAGTAATGTAACAACAAAATATCACCTTTAGATTTACAACGGATGTTTTCATGTTTATCTAATCAAAAATCAATTGTTTCATCGTCTTCAAGATTGCATCCACCAATTCAAGAATCGTTTACTTGGCTAAGCTTCTCCGCGGCAATAACGAACCAGGTTAACACAACCTAACACATTTCTTGTAAGGTTTGCTGGTGAACTGTAAGCTGCTAAAAACTTCAACGTCGGTGAAACATTGGACTTCTTCATATTAATAGTTAGCCGGAGAAAGGTAATTTATCATCGCCGCGGTCTACCGCGTTCCTCCATAGTCTATACCGAACTCCGAGCTTGTCATAAGCAACTGGTAAGTTCCATATGTTTGCACCATTCAACATCCGTTCTTGCTGTCCTAAAACAAGCCTTAAGTCCTCGTTTAAGACCTGGAAACAGAAGAACAATGATAATTTAGATCATCCCGAAGACAAGAATGAGAAGGTATTAAGATGATCGCGTTCTTGATTTACCTGTTCAGCGAAATGTCTCCAGAGATGTTCCATGAATGGAAGATTCTTCAAGATAGGAGCAAAGTCTAGTGACATACGGTATAAAAGTCTTGTTTTGTTTCTTGAAGAAGGTAAACAAACATGGAGTTGATGAAGATGTGTCGCACACTGCTTAGTGCTCTTTCCTTCTAGTTTCCCTGGTTTTGAGATCCCGATTGTCGATAGCACGATACATGGCGGTTTAAACTCCATATCGATTGGATACGGATCCCAGTATCCTTGGAGGCCTGAGGATGGTGTTAAAAACTTCACCAAGCTGCAAGAACAGAGAAAATGTTTTAAAACAGTCATCTCAGCATTAAACAGTGTTTATGAGAAGTAAAACAAACCTTGGGACACTCCAGCCTTTTGCAAAAGTGGATGTGTGAGTGAATGGAGCATGCGCAAGGTCCAAGAGATTATCTAAAAGCAAGCCGTGTTCCACAGGGAGGTCCATTACAAGCTGAGGTTTTTGTGAAGAAAACAAATAAGAAATTGTTGGATTCATATGATATTTTTGGATTTGGAGCTACCTCTTGAAAATGTAAGAACTAACCTCAGCATGGACTACAAAGCCTGATGGAGGTTGTAAAGAAGGAAGTCTAGGTGAAGGTGGTTCATCGCCGGGCCAGACCCAGATCATACCGTCTTGTTCAAGACAAGGTATCGACTTTATCTTCACATTTAGTAGCTTTGTAGATGGCATCTTCGTACATTTTCCATCGGTTGAGTATTCCCATCCTACAAAATAACATTTAATTACATACAAGAATATGGTTTTAAGCTTGTTATCAACAATGTACAGAGAATGTGTTACTAACCATGGTAAGGACATTGGATACGCCCTTGGTTCACTGAGCCAAGATCAAGAGGACAAGCTCTATGCGCACACGTGTTCCGTACACATCCTGGTTTCCCGTCTTCTCCTCTAAAGATAACCCATGGTTGCTCAAAACAATCAATTGGTACCTTCAAGACATAAACAATATTATTTCATCGAAGTTTGTAAACACAGAGAGACAAATCAAAAGCAAGAGCCTTTATACATACCATTGTGTCATGCTTAAGATCTGCAGTGAAAGCAACGGGATACCAAAAATTCTTCAAGTTTGGACTATAAGGCTGAATCGGACCAGAAACATTCAAACTTTTCCCGCCTATGTTCGTCTTCTCCCTGTCTAAGTCTTGGACGGAGGTTGAAGAAGACGGTTTATCTGATTCCGTTGCAACTCTAACTGGTAACAACCTATCATTAACCAATTCCTCCATGTGAGCTAACTTGTTTAAAGCAGTTGAAACCCTTGCTTCAGAGATATGAACCTGTTTTCGTTTTGACTTAATAGTTAGAAGAAGTTTGAACAATGAACAACTAATTAAAAAAGCTCAAGAGAATAGCATTTTCAAGAACCTGTTGGTGTGCTTTAGCTAGTTCTTCTTGCAATCCATCTAGTTCTTTCTTCACTGTACCGATCGATTTGTACTCACGAGCTAGGGGATTAAGTACATCAACGACCTGACATAAACAATTATTCAAAACATAGCCAACACTAAACATAAGCCACCGATGATGATTAATGGAAAAACCGCCAAATATCGAATCTTGTGCTACAAGAACAAATATTTGAAGACGTGTGAGTAGTGAAAGCTGATCATCCCAATACAATCAGTGAACTATATAACATGCATTCATTCCAAAACTTAGCACCAAAACGCAGACAACACCATTGATGATTAATCGAAAAACCGCCAAATATGCTACAAAACCTAATACAATCAGTGAACTGATAAGCGTTGAAGAAGTTGAATGAAGCAATAGATAGCTATAAGTCTACTCTTTCTAGCCTATGACTGAATGTAGCAGTCTCCCTGGTTTCTCAGCTAAGTTCTTATCATAAACTCAAGAAAGCAACTTCAGGAACCAGATAGAGTTAAACAAGCTCAAAAGAGGTCAATGTAGATGAAACTCTAAGTGAGAAACAAACCTTGTCATGTAAGAGCATGATGGTAAGAAGATCTTGACGAGCACGCCAATCCAAGTATTGAATATCAAATCTAGCAACTTCTAGAGCTTGATTTACATCCAAGAACTTGCCTTTATAAGGAGGAGTTTTCGATCTCGGATCCTCAACATCAAACAAAGGTCCCCATTGACTCTTCTTCTCAACTAATCCACTTTCTTCCCCAAATACAGCAAAAACTCTGAATTCTCCTTTCAGTCCCTAAAAACAGCAACAATCACTCAAAGTTCAAACCTTTTTAATGCCACAATTAAAACCCATATCGAGAAATGGTAATTAGAAATTGATTTCACAATTATCCAGACAAGTCGAAGCAAGGATTCAAGTAAAGTTACCTTCTTTCTGGTGAGTTTAGATGATCTAGTTTTACAAAAGGAGAGAGGGAGAGATAAAGCAGAAGAAGCAAACACGGCGGCGTTCATGGCGTCACCGTAAAGAAATCGGGAAGAAAGAAGACAATAGAAAACAAATTAGAGAAAGGGAATTTATCTGAGATTTTTTTGTTGATAAGAGAAGAGAGTTCTTCGCGATCTGAGCAAGCCTCCGGAAAGATGACACCTGTACAAACGTTGAAATGAAGATGTACATGTGGCAGTACTGTGATCCACATGATGATGAAGAGGGATTTGCCAGCTCGGATTCTCCGAGATATCTTTGTCTATCTTGCTTTGTGAATTGGGAGTGAATTCTTTCTTGCAAGTTATATTTTTTTTGTCATTATCCAACTTTGGTTTTCCATCACTAGTTTCTTTTGGTCGAAAACAGGCTATATTTGTCTTCACAAAAAAGTTTGAACAGAAGATACTTTTGAGGGAAGTCCAGTGACTTTTTTTTTCCCAATTGGTATAGAAGCGTATTACTCTTTTTAATTAATAAAAAAAACATTTGTTTCAAACAAACTTTATTAATGTGATGAAATGTTTAAAAACCAAAAAAAAGACGAGAGACTAATAAACAAAAAAAATATAGAGATGAGAATGTTTTTATAAGAAAATTGCATTTTACAATTATATTAATGTATATATTTTTTAAATCTCAACAAAATCTATTATTATTTGTTTAAAGACTTTTAAATTTCATTTCAAATCTTTTGTTATTTAAAAATATAATTATTATTAATTTTGTAACTCTATTAAAATCTAATGTTATTAGAATATGGTTTATCTACAGTTTTATTTATAAAATTTAATTTTTTTTTAAAAAAATTTTGTCTTCAACAGAATTTCATCTCTTATAATTTATTGAAAAAAAATATACAACACAACATCTTACACCTTTACAAATCAAGGATGGGACAAACCAATAGTATCGTTAAATATAATTGAAGAGATCTAACACTGACTCAAGAGAATGAAATCTTTACGGCAAACAAAACGCATAGTTAGCTAGACCATCGGCTAAACGGTTAGCTTTTCTATACCTGTGACGAATCTGGACTACCCAGTCCTTTAAGAGAAAGCCATGGCACAGGCATGCTAGGAATGACAGTGGATGCGAGTCACTTATCCCTGTCCTAAAAAATCCAACAACTATCTCAGAGTCCACCTCTAACTCCAGCTGAGTAATCTAACGTTCCCAAGCTATATATAAACCGTAATAGACACCCCATAACTCAGCCAACTGTGCCGAGTAGATACAAATATCCAGTGCAAATCCACCAAGCCAATCACCATTTGTATCTCTCAAAACTCCTCCTGCTGTGGCTCGGCCGGGATTACCATGTGACGCTTCATCTGTATTTAATTTCACCCAACTCCCATGTGGCGGGCTCCATGATATCTGCCTTTCTACTCTTGAGGTCACATTTTGATTCCCTTTTACTTTCGTGTGCGCTGCAAAGACTTCATTTGCTAAGTCCTTGAGAAATCATACTCTGTCTTGACATTTACTAGAAACCACAAAGACATTACCGCACCTCCATTTCCATCTTCACCATACTGCCATTGCAAATAAAGTTGACCAAACACTTCCCTGTACCTCTACATTCTCAGCCAGATTCTCATAAATCCACTCAAGCAAAGATTGTTAAAAAAATAGTTGTTGCTTACCCGGGGAACGATTCGGGCCCAATCCCCTGCATTGCAAGACAGTCTCGCAATACATGTAGTATTGTCTCTTCGCCCCCTTTACAAACCTGACATACACCTGAGTCTGATAGATGCCTTCTCTGCCTCTCCATATTAGTCATAATGACCTGGTTCACCACCAACTATAAGAACACCTTTGTTCTTTCTGGCACCACCACCCTCCAAACCCGATGATAAAGACCTTGTAAACACTGTCTCGGGGATGTATTTCTAGTAAGACGAGCATAGGATGACTTCACTGTGAAGTTACCATCCTGAGTTTCGCCCCCGTGATATCCTGTCTTTTGCCCTTGTTACATCATCTAGGACCACCGCCGCAAGTTGCAGTCTAGTAGTCATTGATATGTAAGGCGCTAAGCTTGTAAACTGCCACCCGAACCGTTATTCCATACCTCACCAGTAGTCACCTCCATAAAATCTTATGGTATACTGCTGATTGTAAGTTCTGATAACGAGATATTAAGGAGCCACTTATCCCTCCAAAACCTGATCTGCCTTCCATCCCCAATCACCCAACTTAAACCTGGTAACACCACTTCTCTGAGACCTATTCCCACACGTCTCCACGTGGATGACCAGTGACTCTTTACCGTGATCCATGATGTTTTCGAAGCATGTGAGACTCGGTATTTGCTCCACAAAATTTTTGCCCATAAGCTGTTCTTATCTTGTAGTAGTCGCCATCCCAGCTTTGCGATAAGTGCTTTATTCATATCCTTTGCCAAACGAATTCCCAAACCGCCTTCTCTCTTTGGTAGACAGACTCTCTTCCAAGAGATGAGGTGTTGCTTCCTCTGTTTTGTAGTACTTCCCCAGAGAAAAGATCTCAATGTGCCCTCTAACTTCTTTAGAATCAATGCTGGGAGTATTATTGTGCTCATAGCATGGACTGGTATCAAAGAGAGGACTGATTTTATTTGGGTTATTCTTCCTGCGAGGCTCAAGAAGCGCCATTTCCAACCAGCCAACCAAGAAGACACTTTCTCAAGGACCTCCCCAAATATCTCTTTGTTGATTCTCTTTTGTAGGATAGGCATCCCCAAATACTTTTCCAGCTCTCGATTGGATTGTATCCCACTCGCGTCAATAATCAGCTTTGCCAAATCTCGACTGACATTTGCAGAGAAGAATATTTTTGATTTCTCAAGGCTTACTTTCTGTCATGAAGCCTTGTAAAACCTCTTGAGCACTGTCCTAATAACTCGGACTTGAGATACTGATGCTTCTGCAAAGAGGATGAGGTCATCTGCAAAACATATATGGGATAGCATAGGACCTCCGTGATACAGAGAGTTTTTGAGGCTCTTGAATGTTTCAATCACCCTAACACTTGTACTAGTCAGTTGTAGTGTAGTATGGGTTTTATGTCAATCCAATGGGAGGAGTTGAAAACAGAAGAGTTGAGAGTAAAATCTCTAAGTCAAGCAAGCAGAGAATTGGTTTTGTTGCCTAAGCAACAGTTCTAGCAACCTAAATGAAACAAGCAACAAAAGAAGTGAAAACAAAGGCAATTTAAGCAGTTCTAAGCAAGAAAAACAGAGTAAAATAGAGCAAAACAGAGCAAATCCGAGATTCAAATAAGAGAAAGACAAGTCTCTAGATGTGGTTATTGACTTTGGGGAATTTCAGGCATTAACTAAGGCTGTTTCAAACTACATTGATCAAGCAAGCAAGCAAGCAATGGTGATTCCTAGACATAGAGTTCACACTTAAGCTAGTTAGATCCAATCTCTTGGCAAATAACCCTTTGCTAAATATTCTAACAAGAACTAACTCTCATTAGTGCTAAAACATCAAGCAAGCATGATTAAACAACTCTATTCAAGTCAAAATGCTCCTCAAACAGTCAATCTCTTGAGCCAAGGCCAGCAAATCCTCTATTAAACATGATCAGCATTTCATCAAACACTTGGTGGGCATAAGAGAAAGCTAACAACTTAGACAAGTTTGATCAAGACTAATCTAGCATGAATAACAGATTAATAGAGAGGAACTCATAAAATAAAGAACATAACAAGCCTTAACCAAGCCTTAAATTCCCCTAATCTACCACATCTAGAAACCCTAAGATAACTACTCACTCATAATCATGTTTAACACCAAATCACAAAGGAAAATGATGCTAATCATGATTAAAGGAAAGATTAAAGAAAGATTAAAGCAAATACTTGATTATATTAAACAAAGCAAAGAAATTGTCTTACAAACTTAAAAGAAAAGCTCAAGAACAGTATTTTGACATGACTTCTTGAAATCTGGAAAAAGAGGCTATTTATAGCCTAGAAAGAAAAACCCTAGAGTAATGGCAAAGTTGTAATTAAAAACAGGTTCGGGCTGGGTCAGTATCGGTCAGTCGTGTCGATCTCAAGTGACCGAAATGGGTCCCTATCGGTCTTCAGTGATCGACACAAATGACCGAAATTAATCCGATGCATTTGTGTCGATCACACTTGACCGATACTGGTGACCGAAATGCTCCGTATCGGTCACTCTTGACCGAAACTCTCCGTGCTCTGACCGAAAACTTCTGCAGAGATCTTCTGCTGCGATCCTTCTTGCTCCCTTTTGCCCAGCTAGCATCTTGCATCATTCCCAAAACTCCTCCAAGCTCCTTTAAGCTCCAAAAGCACCTAAAAACATCCAAAATGCAAAGAAAATGCAAACTATACTCTAAATGCAACCTAAGTCTAAAAGGAGCAGAAAATGAGACAAAAGCAAAGGGAAAACATGCAAAAGAGGATCAAAATATGTACTAAATGCAGCCCTAAATGGTGTAAATACAAGGGATATCAACACTCCCACACTTGCCTTTTGCTTGTCCTCAAGCAATCAAGAACAAATGGGAGAGTGAGGTTTGAAAGTGGGCATTCAGATTCTAAAAGTGCAAAGGTAAAGAGATGGTTTTAGTGCTTAAGTGCCTAGTTGTAAGATGCAAACATAATCAGCTGTACTTTAAAGAACCTAGCCATGCTCATCATGTTTCAAAATGATCTCAAATCTCAACTTAGGCAAATGCTCAAATCAATCAACTCTTTAACATTTAATTAAATTCAGAACATGAATCATGCTTATGCAAATCAAGTGAAGACATTTGGTTGAAAAGGGTAAGGTTATGAGATAAGAATGATCTCATTTAAGCACAAGGGTTCAAAAACATAAAGGATCACTCAATGAAATGACTTCATCTTAGGCAAAATGCTAAAGGTAAAAGCACACTTATGCATGCAGTTCAAAGCTCTCTTCTACCCTTACTTCTTAAAGATGAGTCCTAAGCATTTCTAAACCCAAGAGTGAACCCTCTAAGTCTACCCTTTCCTAAACTCTACCCTTTACCCATCTTCATGGCTGGGGAAACTTCTTCTTTTGCTTGTTTGGTTGCCTTTTTTTAGTTGGGACTTGCTCTTCTTTGTTGTGTTGGCACCTTCATCACCTTTGCTGGATTGCTTCTTGGTCAGATTTTTCTTCTTTTGGACC